TTTTCGTTAGAAATTTTTTTGGGAAGGAAAAAAGTTTTTTTTATCTAAAAATACAAATTAATGTTTTCGCATCGTTTAAAATCAAAATATTTTCTTTTTTCAGTACCAAGTAGAAAAAGATTGTTTTGATCAGACCAAATATGCACCCCAAGTAAAAAACGTTTAGAGAAATATTTAATGAAAATTTTACAACACTTTTAATTCGTTTTTTGTCTCAATTTGATATCCTCAGAAAAACTGTAAAATATCATTTGTTTTGGTTATAAAACAATTTTTTGTAATTCTAACTAGCATGACTCAATTATATTCAGACAAGTTTGGAATTTTTTTAATTAAAAGGAAGAAAAAAGAGGTAGGAAAATTGTTTCAATCAGACTAAATGAACTAACGTTTGCATTATATCGTTTAAAAATTTTGTTTTCTGCGAGTGACAAGTACCTAGAAATAAATTATTTTAGTCATACTAAACTTGCACTCCAAATAAAAAAATATTAAGGCAAATAAATATTTGTCAGGAATATTATACCACAAATAATTTTATTAAATAATTTTTACTTTGTTTATTATAAAACATGAATTTTTTTAATTCTAAGTAGAATGAATCAATTTTAGTCAGACAGGATTTAAATTTTTTTAGTAAAGAAATTTAAATAGCAAAGAACAATTTTTTAATCTGATTCTATGAATAATTGTTTTCGCCTCGTTTAAAATACATTTTTCTTTGCAATGATGGCAAGTAGAAAAATACTATTTCAGTCAGACCGAATTTGCACCCCAAGTGAAAAATAAAATATTAAGGAAAATGTATGTCTAATTATCTATTCACAAATAATTTTACTAAATATTGGTGTGCTTTGATTAAAAATCATAAGTTTTTGTTATTGTAAATGTAATAAATAAATCCAAGTCAGACATAATTAACATCCGGAAAAAAATAAGTTTAACTAATCAAAACTTCTTTTCCATAAAAATTCACTGGGAAAATAAATTGTTCTTTACCTTATTTATAAAACACAAATTTTTGCAATTCTGAGTGGAATAAATCAATTTAAGTCAGACTAGGTTAAAATTTTTTATTAGTAAATTTAAATAGCAAGATAATATTTTTTTAATCAATTTTTACTTACTTTTCAAGTAGAAAATTACGATTTTAGTCAGACAATGTTCCCTGTTTGTATCAAAACACTTAATTAATTTGCAAATCGGCTTTTGCCTCAAAAAATGTAGTCTCTGTTTATAAAATATTAATTTTAATAGTTTTAAGTAGAGTAAAATGTTTTTAGTCAGACAAACTTAATTTTTGAATATTTATTTTGTATAACGTAAAGTAGAACTACCCTCAGTTGGGAAAATCAAGTGTTTGCTGTTTAAGTAGAAAAATGCAGTTTTAGTCAGACGGTAACTGTTTGCTAAGTAAACAACATTATTCATGAAAACAAAACTGTTTTTTTTTCTACCACAGAATTTAATCTCTAATATATTTCGTAACTTTCAAAAAAATATTTCTCTTTCAAGTGGAAAATGATGATTCTAGTCAGACCAAAATTCCCCGCCTAGTAAAAAAAGTTTTCTCTTCAAAGAAAAGTGCTAAAAAATTTTTTATTTTTAATACTCCCCTAACGACAATTAAAAGAAAAATATTATTTTTCACTTAGAAGTAAAATTTCTTTCCCAACAAAATTTTTCTTCTTTTAAATTTTTAATCAAGGATTGTTTTTTTTTCAAAAAGAAAAATTTGAAGAGAAAAACTTTTTTCAAAATAAATTATTAATAAGTAAACGTTGAAATTTATCGCTACTTGTTTTGAAATTACGCTGAAAAAAAATTTCAGAGTAAAATATTTCTACTGTAAAAAACGTTTACAGTAATATTTTACTTTTTCAGTAAAATTATCCTCAAATTATTGTAATATGTTAAAATAATTTTCTTTTTTCGTTTTAGAGAACAATTTATCGCAAAGTTGAATAAAATGGAATTCAAAATGATACTCGAGTTGAAAATGCAATGAGAATAAAGAAATAATTTTTTTTTCGGTGGGGATGGGGAGAGTGGGGAGAAAAGAAACTTGAAACGTTTCATAAAGTTAGTGAGTGTACGTTTTCAGTGAGGAGAAGTAGCTTTTTCTCTATTCCAACACTTCACAAGAGAGAAGTTTTCAAAGTGAAAAATTCAACTGAGAAAATTCTTTTTCACAATTTATTTGATACTTTAATAATAAAAAAACGTGTAACCTAATTGTACCTAATCTATCATGAACTGCATATAAAAATGTGTTCTTTTTGAGACTACCATTTATTTTCTCAATTGAATAAAATGCAATTCCTTTCAGGAAAATGGTGAGAAGAAAAAACAGGATCGTTATGTACTTTTTCTTTAATATTCATTTTAAAATTTGATTTCTAGTTATGTATATTTTTTTCTTCGATAAAAAAATTGTTGTATTGGAAAAAGATTTTTGTAGTGGAAAAAAATGTTTGTAATGGAGAATTAAATATAATTGTATTGGAAGAAAAATTGTATCACAAAAGTAAATTCTACTTAATTCAATCAAATTTTAATTAATTCAATCAAATTCTCTTTATTTCAATCAAATTCGTTCTAATTCAATTAACTTGATTTTAATTCAATCAAATTCGATCCAATTCAATCAAATTTCAATAAATTTAAATAATTTTACTTTTTGACTTGGACAGGGCTCGAAATAGCACCGTAAATCTCTTAAAAAACCGTAACAGTCAGTTTAAAAAAAAAAAAAATTCGTAATTTGATTGAAAAAAATTGTACGATATAATTTGAAGAATTTTAAAGAAATTACAAATGAATGCAAAAATTCAATTATTTTCAAAAGAAATAAAATTTTTCGCAGAAATTCAATGTAATCATAAATTTAAAAAAATTCTAGTCAAAATTAAAATATCAATTTTCTTTATAAATAACAATATTCTTCTCAGAAATTTAATTATTTTCAAAAATTTAAATAAAATTCTTGGCACAATTTCAAATATTTTAAAAAATTTTCCTCAATTCAAAGGATTTTCAATATCTACTATTTTAATAAAATTACCCAAAAGAATTCAATTATTTAAACAAAATTTAATAAAATTCTACGCAAACATTTTCGTAAATAATAAAATTTTTTGAGAAATTTAATTATTTTCATAAATAATAGAACTCATTGCTGAATTTCAATTATTTTTAACATTTAAGCACAATTTTAATCGAATTCTAGAAAAAATTAATTATTCTCAAAAATTTTATTAAAATTCGTCAAGAGAATTCAATTATTTAAAAATATTTTTGATAAAATTCTTTAGGATAATTGAATTTTAAGAAACATTCAATTATTTAATAAATTATTTCTTTTTGTATTAAAATAATTGAATTCTAGTAGAATTTTTTATTAAATTTAAAATTGAATTAAAAATGAATTTTAGTTGAAATTTTATATTATAATTGAATATAAAAGCAATATAGCGTGGATTTTTTTATAAATAATTGAATTTTGAAAAGGTTTTAAATTAAAATCTTTGAAAATCTGAATTTTTCGTATTTTTAACTAACAATTCTGTGGAACTCATTTCTTTGAGAAAGTTTAATTGTGAATATTTTTTTTTTTAGAATTTATTTCAAGTTTTTATTTTCTAATACATATTTAATTGAAAAATTTAAGAATAATTGAAATTTTGTAAAATTGAATTGTAAAAAAATGAATTAGAAAGTTTTCAAAAAACTTTTTTAAAAATTATTAAAAATAATGTTTATAGAGAAGAATTTTAGTTAAAAACACGAAAAAAAAAATAATTTTGGAAAAGTTACAAATTATTGAAATAATTCAATTATTTTCAAGAGTAATAATATTCTTCGCAAAAATTAAATATTGTTCAAAAATAATAAAATTCTTCTTCGGGATTTAATTATTTTTACAAATCATAAAATTCATCGCAGAATTTCAATTATTTTTAATTCAATTTTAATCGAATTTCTCGAAAAATGTAATTACTCTAAAAAATGTTATTAAAATTTGTCAAAAGAATTGAATTATTTAAAAATTTGTTAATAAAATTCTTTATTGGAATTAAATTTTAAAAAACATTCAATTATTCAATAAATAATTTACTTTTGTATTTAATTAATTGAATTCTCGTTCAATTTTCAAATAAAAATTTATTTTTGAAAAGGTAGAATTCAAATTATTTAAAAATTTGTTGATAAAATTCTTTATGGGAATTGAATTTTAAGAAACATTGAATTATTCAATAAGTTATTTATTTTTGTAGTTAAACAATTGAATTGTAGTAGAATTTTGTAATAAAAATTGATTAAAAAATAGATTTCAGTTAACATTTTAGATAATAATATTGAACATTAAAAGCAATATAGCGTAAATGTTTAGAAATAATTGAATTTTGAAATTAATTTTTTTGATAAAGTTTAATTGCGGATTTTTTATATTATTTTAAGTTTTTATTTTCTAATATATATTTAATTGAAGAATTTACGAATAATTGAAATTTCGTAAAATCGAATATTATAAACAAATGAATTTGAAAATTGTCAAAGAACTTTTTCGAAAATTATTAAAAATAATTGATTTAAAGAAGAATTTTAGTTAAAAATTCATGAAAATAATAATTAAATTATTATCTTCATGTTTTATAGTTATGAAAAATTTAATTTATAGTTTTAAGTAAAATGTTCTCTTGTTTGACTCGGACTGGTTATATTTTTGTCAGCAATTGGTCCGTAAATGGTCCGTAATTTTTCATTTTTGGTCCGTAAAGTCCGTATTTTTAAATACTTTCACTAGTACGAGCCATGTTCTAATTCAATTTAATTCAATCAAATTTCAATAAATTTAATTAAATTTACTTTTTTTTTAAATTTACTTGAAAGATTGTTAAGTTTAAAAAAAATTATATTTTATATTAATTAATTATGATTTAAATTAATTCAATTCGATTGAAAATTAACTATTACTGTTCAAAAAGTGATAATATTACCTTTCACTGAGTTGATCGAATCTTGCGAAAAGTTCATTGAGAATTTTAACGAGTTCACTGGCATTATAAGTGGATGAGATGGCGGTGAATCCAACAATGTCAGCGTACAAAATTGACACATTCTCGTGACGTGACATGTAAATTTTTTTGAATTGTGTGTCTAGTGAGGCACCAAGATCCTGACGCATTTTCACCGCCACGTGCTCGGGCAACACGCTCAATAATAATCTTTCCTGTTCGGCGCTCTGCTCCTCAATAATCAATTGAACCTCGAGACTTTGCCTCGTTTCGAGGAAGGCCCGTCGTTGTTGAAATTCACCCAGTGAATATGTTGACGCACCCAGTATTACAGCACCAATTGATAATGTCACCGTCAGTAACTAAAATTTAAAAATTTTATTTTTTGTACTTTTTCTGTTTTCTAGTATCAAAATATTTATAATATTAATTTTATTATTAAATTAATAAATATAATTAAGAATATTTTCCAAAACAATTATAATAACAATAATAATATTATAATAACGTTTACACTTGTAAGCTGGAGCTGGTTAAGAATTTTTACAAAGTTTATAAATTACGGAACATCAAAGAAAAAGAAAAATTATGCAACAATTGAAAGCAAACGCTGGTTAAGATTTTTTTTACAAAGTTTATTAATTACGGAACGTCAATTAAAAAAAAGTGAAAAAATTACGCAACTGTGGAAAGCATATTAAAAAGGAGAAAAATTGGAATATTAAATTTGTCCAGTTGGATAATTTGAATGAAAATTTGTTCAATTTTCATGTATGGTATATTAATTTATAGTTTCGCTGCGACAGCGTATATTGCCATTTATTAAGTTATTCCCGGAAGTAACAACGTGAAACTACATCAAACTGTCATTCGTTTATTCACATCGCATGACTCTATTTTAAACCACCATTGACCGGTCTCTGCTCGGCTGTCACTAACGAACGCGTGTTACTTCGCAACTCCCTTTTAATTTATCAAAAAACAAATCACAAAAGTTAATTCACCATATATTCATTTTTTATTCCTGAAAAATAATAACTAAAATATTGACAATTTTCTTTTCTTTAACAATTTTATTATTTTGCAACTGAATTTCAAAATTGTCTCGTTAAATATAAATTTTATTTATTTTATTTATATTTATTAATATTTATTTAATTTATTAATTAGTAAATTAATTAATTACCTAATTGAGTAATTAATCATGTTTTTTACATTCAAAAATTAACGTTAATTTAACTATTATTATTTTATTATTAACATAATAATAATTATTAATATATAAATTATTTTAATATTTTTATTATTTTTGTTAATATTATTTTAGAAATAAAATATTAATATACAATAAAAAATTAATTTTATCCGATTATTTAAATTTTAATTAATTATGTAAATTTTTGGTAAATCTCTTTTTAGATTATTAATTACAGACCTTATATTTGAATGATAATTGTAATTACTGTTATTAAAATATTAAATATTAATTAATTACTTCGGTCATTAAAGTGAAAAGTTATGAGAAAATATAATGAAAAATATTTATATTGATTATTCGCTTGTAAGTATTTGCTCTTTGCCCCTCATTGTAAATTTATGGAATATGTTATATTATACATAGAAAGAGAGAAAAGAGTATGCGATAAATTTCTATTAGTTTCAATAATAATGATTATTTCATAGTCAATATAATAAAATTCATATTCTCACGTGTAAATATATAAATATATAATCAGGCCTTTTGACCGTAAATCGTTCACCTTTTCATTGGAATGAATAAATAATTAGAACACACACTACCCTATACGTAACATGATTATAGAATATATTTTGCATATTCTCAGACAACTATTAATTATTTTAATTTTTAATCGAAAAAAATATCTATTTTGACAGTAATTTAATTATTTTTTCTTCGATGAATTTTGAACAAGAGAAAATTATTTTTTTATGTAAATTTTTTTTTAGGAAAATTTTTGCGAAATTTTCTTTAAAATTAAAATAAATTCAATGAACAGGTCTATTGAAATTAATTAAAATTAATTATCGAAATTAATTAAAATTAATAGAATAAATAAAAAATTGAATTAAATTGTAGTTAATAATAAAAAGATAATAGTGAAAAAATAGTAAATAAATAAATACTAAAATAATAATAGTAGCGAAATAGTAAATAAATAAATAATAAAATAATAATAGTATCAAAATAGTCAATAAATAATTAATGAAATAATAATAGTAACAAAACTATGAGTAAATAAATAATAAATAAAACATAAATAAATAATAAGAGGATAATCGTAGAAAATAGTAAATAAATTTTAATAATAATAAAAATTTAAATAAAAATAATACAAGAATATTAAATACAGAAGAAGGAAAACAATAATAGATAAATAATAATAAAAAAATTATAAATAAAAATAATACAAGAGTAATAAAATAAATAATAAATTCGAAAGAAGAATAATAAAAATGAGAAAAAAGATTGTACTTATTATCGCAAAATTAATTATCGCTGAAAGTTAAATAAAACAGTTACGAATAAAAAAAAAAATAAATAAACACTTAATAAAGACCTCCATTAAAATACAGACATATTAATAAATTCGTTTATTAAAAATTTAAACAAAAGCGATATTCTTTTTTTTTCTCTTTTCGTTTGGTACGAAAAAACAATACATTGTTTCGTTTCTTTGAAAAGTAAAACAAAAACATTTTTTTACAATTTCGTTACTTACACATACTTTAAAAAAAAACACTTTCATGTCCAGCGAATGCAAAAAAAAGGACAATATAAATATTAAAACATATTTCACCATTTCTTTTGTTCTATACAAAATTGTGAAAAAAATCTATTTCATTACAGAAGAAAGCACAAAAAGTTAATTTTCAAAAGTATAACATTAATTGTGTAACATGAAATAGAGTTTTTTTCTTTTAAAATACATAAAAACAATTTTCAATCTTTATTTATCAATATTCCAATTTTGTTTTAATAATTTAAAAATCGAGATTGAATGAAAATTGAGAACAATTAGAATACATTGGAAACGAGATATTTCAAATACAATATCAAAATATTATAGAAAAAAACGGTGATTTCGTTTTATTTATTTCATTTATTTGAATTTGAAATTATAAAGAAAAATATATTTACGTTATTAATTATGTTTATTTAATGAAGTTAGTAGTTTATCAATAAAATTGTATATTTAAAGACAGAAATTTCCCGATTTCAAAATTTATTTAACAGTTCAAATTATATTTCAATTCGATGAGATTTAAAATTTCAGAATAATTACAATATAAAATACAATTGTGAGAGATTTCGATCACAGAATTGTAATAATTATATGAAGAGAATTTATTTCGTTGGACAAAAAATACAATAACAAAAATTTGTTTCAACAATAAAAAGTAGAATAATAAGATTATAAATTTATCAGTTCCAATTATTGAAAATCGAGATTAGTGAAAATTGGAAAATTCACGATTTTATTATTTTCGGATGTATTTAGTTTTTTTAATTATTTGTTTATTTATTCATTTATTTTTTTATTTATTCGTATATTATTTATTTATTTCTATAATTATTTATTTATCCTTAATTTTATAAATTCCTTTTAGTTCTTTTTCTTCATTTATTTAATTGTTTATTTTTCTATTGATTTACTGATTTCTGTTTTTATAAACATTTTTATTTATTTTTACTTATTGTAGGCTTTACACTCATTTACTAAAACCTACTATTTACTACTTTTTTTACTTTATATACTACTATTTGGGTACTATTTTTAGATTTCAGCCACTAAAAGCTACTATTTCTATTTTTTGCGAATTTCCACTACTTTAAATAAATTCCCTAATACTAAAAATCAAAAAACTATTTTCAAAAATTATAATCAAATTCTTTAAAACGATTCAATTATTTTCAATATATAGTATTTTTATCAAATTTCGCAAAAGAATTTAATTATTTTTAAAAAATTGATAAAATTCATCCAAAATTCAATTATTTTCATAAATAATATAATTTCCACAGAAATTCAATTCATTAAGAATAACATTTTCAAAAAAAGTTCGAAAAAATCAATTATTTAACAAAATATTTATACAATTCTTCACAATAGTTCAATTACTTTCACTAATAACATTTTTCATAGAAATACAATTATTTAAAAAAAATCTTGATAAAATTTTAAGCGAGAATTCAATTATTTTTAAATTAATAAAATTCGTCGCAGGATTTCAATTATTTTTAATAAAATTTTACAGGAATTGCTAAAAAATGTAATTATTCTTTAGAATTTAATTTCAATTCCTCGAAAAAATCAATTATTTAAAAAAATGTTTTTTTTTTAATTTTTTGGAAGAATTCAATTAAAATTTTTCACAAGAATTCAATTATTTTCCAATATTTTAATAAAATTCAATCATTTTTTTAATAAAATTGTTCAAAATAAATTAATTATTTTAAATACAATTTTAATTACATTGTTTTGAAATAATTCAATTATTCTTTTAGATTTTAATAAAATACTTCCCAAAAATTTAATTATTTACATAAATAATTCTTCGAAAGAATTCAATTATTTTATTTTTGGGAATAATTTTGTTGTTACAAAATTATTCCCAAAAATCCAATTATTTCTGAGGCATTTTAATAAAATTCATTGCAAAATTCAATTATGTTCATAAATAATATTATTCATCACAAGAATTCAATCATTTTTTAAAGTAATAAATTTCTTCTTGGAAGTTGAATTTTTTTAAAAAACTCTAATAAAATCGTTCATAAGAATTCAAATAAAATTCTTTGTTAAATTTAATTACTTTTAAAAACTTTTCGGAATTCAATGGTTTTCAATATTTACTATTTTCATAAAATTTCCAAACAGAATTCAATTATTTAAAAAATTTGTTGTGAAGTGTCTGAAACGAGTTTTTTTGGTCGTCAAGTTTAATTTTTTGATAACTACTATACTTTTTTACTAATTCTTTTTTAGTTTGAAAGATACGTTTTTTTACTTTTTTTAAATTAATTATCGAGTGCGAAGTCTGTTAATTTCTATTTATTATTTTACTTATTTTTTTACTTATTCTTTTATTTATCTGTTTATTGTACATTAAAATTGAAATTAAAAGAAGACATTTTTCAAAAACTCTTCTGTTTTTAATTTTATTTTAACACAAAGAGTAAAAATTCTAATCACAAAGAGTAAAATTTATAAACACAAAGTTTAAAAATTAAAAGACAAAGAGTAAAAATTCCAAGCACAAAAAGTAAAATTTATAAACACAAAGTATAAAAATTTAAAGGCAAAGAGTAAAAATTCCAACCACAAAAAGTAAAATTTATAAACACAAAGTATAAAAATTTAAAGGCAAAGAGTAAAAATTCCAAGCACAAAAAGTAAAATTTATAAACACAAAGATTAAAAACTTTAAACACAAAATGTAAAAATTCTAACTAAAAAAATCAAAAATCAGAAAAATAAGGAACTAGGTCGAATTTTGGCAAATAAATCATCAAGCAGAAACAAATTTTCGATTATCTGATTAAATAAACAAGGAAAAAGGAAAACTTTTGATAAATCATCAAGCAAAAAATGTTTCTTTTCGATGATAAATCAACAGTCAAGAAGTGTTTTTTTTCTCCCAAAAAAAAGAAGATGAAGAAGAGAAGGAAAAATAAATGATAAATCTTGAAAAAAAAAAAAAAGAAGCAGATGTTCATATCTCGTTTTGAAAACATTGCCTCAGAGAAACACAATTTCGAAGTAATATTTCAACTCCCCTCCCAAACCCCTCTCCCATCGAACAAAACATCCCTCTCCATTTGTAAAAGATAACGGTTTAACAACCCCTAATTTTCGTTAAGGTAGAAAAGCGAATCAGGAAGGGAAGTCAGAATTTTTTATATACATAAGAACACACTCTCACACATACACATATCCACACCGTAGCAAAGTTTCAGTCTCTAGATACATGAAAATTGCCTCTATATATAGTAAAAGCAACACGCAAAGTATAAAAGTTACTAATACATGCAAACATATATAAGTGTATATAAAATATAGATAAAAAAATTTCCGTACCAGGACGTCAATGACGGATATAGGCTCATCGGCAATATCCTTGGAGAGGCCGCTGATTGCAACAATATAAACCAATGCGGTTCCCGATGCCAAAAATAAGCATAATGGCAATCTCAATGGAAGTGTTGCAAATATTAAGTACAATAATAAAAGTAACCATCCAAGACCATCGCGATGATTGACGTCGGTTGATTTTAAAAATAATTGAACCAATATTTGTGCTGTGAATAATTGCCAAGCGACATTTGGCATGACAAACCACAAATAACCTCTTGCCTTTATACCGCGTTGTGCCCACGCTAATAGGGCGAGATTTAGTCCCATGAATACCACTGCCAATCCACGAATCACTAGGTCCAATTCGGGGAGAAATAATGTATAGACATCGTGTATTAGGGCTGAGATGAGAAAACATTTTAGACCATTTCGCTTTTGTTGGAGTGATGATTGACGGTAGAGTTTCTCTAAATGGGAACTGGAGAAACTTGTCTTTAGGAGATTTGAGGGTCGTCCTGAGTGAAGGTACGACTCCTCGTTGGACGTTTCTGGCCTTTGAGACATGGTTCATTAATTTTTTTCTTTTCTCTTTTTGATTCTAGTTTGGTTTTATTTGCTGCTTTGGAGGTGGTGACATTTTTTTCTTTGGATTTCTTTTTGGCGAGGTGAATTTTATCTTCTTCGAAGACTTTGGATTGGTTTTTTTGTTAGAGAGAGATTTTTTTGGAATTTTGGACCTGAATGTATTTTGCCTTCTTTTTAGCTTGTTTTTGTCTTGCTTTTGCCTTGTTTTTGTTTTGTTTTTAGCTTGTTTTTGTATTTATTTTGTATTCCTTTTGTCTGTTATTTATATTGCTTTTGCCTTCCTTTTCTTTTGCTTTCCTTTTGTCTTGCTTTGTCTTCCTTTCGTCTTGCTTTGTCTTCCTTTTGTCTCGATGACAAGTACTTCCGGATAACTTTCGAAAAATATTCGTTAGCTTTCTTTTGGAGCCTCTTGTCTGGCAGAAAATTATTTAGAAACTAAATTAAAATGGTAACAAATCAGTAATTTTGGAAAATTGTCTGAAGACGAGTTGAGTTTCTTTGAAGACAAGAATATCGTTTGGCTTTTTGAGGAATTTTCTGTTTGGAATGCTTAAAACCTTCGCTGATGATTTTTCGGTACTTTTCGAAAATTCTTGCTGTGATTTTTGGATTTTCTTGTTTGCAAAGTTTGCTGATGAGTAAGACTGTTGATGAGTTGATGAGTTTGCTTAACTTAAGACTTTAAGTACTTTTTAAAAATTCTACTTTGGTTTTTTGGAATCTTTCTTCTTAGAAACTTCTCTGATAGCTTTTAAATAACTTTCTTAAACTTCTTCCTAGGATTTTTTGAATTCTTTTTGATGGGATTGTTTGGATTTTTCTTGCTAGAATTTTTTTGAATTCTTCTTGCTGAGATTGTTTGGATTTTTCTTGATAGTATTTTTTGAATTCTTCTTGGATTTTTTGAGATTTTCTTGCTCGAAATATTTTGTACCTTCGCTGATGATTTTGAGGTATTTTCTAAAAAATTGCTGCTAGGCTTCTTTGAGATTTTTGTTGTTTGGAACTTTTTGAAACTTCGCTGCTAATTTTTTTGGTACTTTCCAAAAATTCTTTAGTTGGTGATTTTTAGGAACCTTTTTAAAAACTTCTGGCTGGAATTTTTTGTTACCTTTCTGTTTGGAATATTTAAAAGCTTTGCAGATGATTTTTAAGTACTTTCCTAAAATTCTTACTTGGTTTTCTTGTATCCACTTGTTTGCAACCTTCGTTGATGATTTTTAGCTACTTTTCTAAACTGACGACTAGGATTTTTTGGAATTTCCTTGTTTCAAATTTTTGCAAACTTTGCTTGATGCTTTTTTTTTGGGTACTTCTTTAAAATTGCTGTTAGGTTCCTTTAAGATATTTCTTTTTTTGAAATTTTCTGAAACTTTACTGCTAATTTTTTGGTACTTTCCCAAAATTATTACTGGAATCTTTTCGAATCTTTTGGTTCAGAAACTCGACTGATGATTTTCAGAAACTTTTCTAAACTTCTTGATAGATTTTGTTCGAATTTTCTTGTTTGGAATGTTTGCAAACTTTGCTGGCTGCTTTTTAGGTGCTTCCTTAAAATTCTTACTAAGTTTTTCTTCCGTTTAGCTGTAGAAAAAAGGTTTAGAACCTTCGCTATTGATTTTTAGCTACTTTTCCAAACGTCCTGCTAAGATTTTTTGGAATTTTCTTGTTTGGAATGTTTGTAAACTTTGCTTGATGCTTTTTTTGGGTACTTCCCTAAAATTTTTTGGAATGTTTGAAAACTTTGCTGACGTTATTTAGATACTTTCCTAAAATTCTTACTAGGCTTTTCTGGTACCCACCTGTTTAGAACCTTTGCTGATGGTTTTCAGGAACTTTCCTAAATCTTCGGTGGAACTATTCGATATCTTCTTGATTGGAATGGTTGGTACTTTCGCTGATGACTTTTAGGTACTTTCCTTAAATTGCTATCAAGTTTCTTTTGAAATATAGTTGGAAATAGTGTTGGACAACTTATAGGATTTTATACAGTTTTCTTGCTTGGAATATTTCTCACCTTCTCTGATTATTTTTAGATCCTTTTTGATGATTATTAGGTAGTTTCCTAAAATTGCTGCTTGGTTTTGTTGAGATATTTTTTGTAACTTCACTAATGTGTTTTAGATAATTTCCAAAAATTCTTGCTTAATTTTTTTAGATTCTTCTTGCTTTTAAATCTTCGCTGATGATTTTCAGAAACTTTCCCAAGATTCTTGCTGGGATTTTGTAGAGTTTTCTTGTTTGGAATGTTTCGAACCTTCACTGATGATTTTTAGTTAATTTTTTGAAATTCTTTCTAGAATTCTTTCTAACTTTCTTTTGGAACTTTAAAAATTATTTGTAGGTACTTTTCACAATTTTTCGTTAGATTTCTCCAGGATCTTCTTGTCTGGAACCTTCTCTGACGATTTTTAGTCAATTTCCTAAAATTCTTACCACGTTTCTTCAGGATCTATTTGTCTCCAATAATATCTAATATCTAATAACTTTTAAGTACTTTTTTACTTTCCTTTTTTTACTTTACTTTCTTTACTTTACTTAACTTTCTTTGCTTTACTTACTCTTTCTTCACTTCACTTCACTTTTCTTTTAAGTTCTTGTCAGTATTTTTCTCGAATCTTCTTGTTCGGAATGTTTTTGAATCTTTACTGATGGTTTTTAGTTACTTTCAGAAAAATCCCCCTCAAGTTTTCTTGATATTTCCCTTACTTGAAACGTTTGGAAACTTAGAGTTGTTAGAATGATCGGAGAGACTTTCTGATAAGGAAAGTCTAAAACTTCTTTTTCGTAACTTTCTGATAAAGAGAGTCTTGATCCTAAAACTTCTTGATGGATTTAAAAAAGAAATTTCCTATTATCCCCCGTCTCTTAAATTTCAATTCTCAATGAGAATTTTTTCTGGGCAAAAATTTATTGGATTGTCAAAAAAATTTTATTCCACCCCAATTATCTTTTGACCTTGCTCACTGCTCTAGAACAACGGTTTCTAATTGCATTTTTATGTGCTTGTTCTGATTTTTCTCCTCTTGATAAAGATTTATTAGATTAGTCAGGTTCCCTTGCTTCAAGAATCGAAACTTTGCTTTCTATCTTTGGTAATTTTTTATCAGATTTAACCGATTTTTTTTTCTTCTTTCCTCCAAATCAAATTTCGAATTGATTTTTCAGTTATAAGACTGTATTAAAAAATTGAATGTTATAAAATAATAATCAGTTCAATCAGTTCTGGATTAATAGTGTTTTTTTAATTACTTATCGTCAATTATAGTTTCAGAAATTAATGGAACAATTTTTAAGTTAAAATATTCTCGAACTGTTTTAAATAATATTTTCTTCAAATAATTGTTTTTATATTTTCTTTTATTGAAAATTGTTTTGTCTGGAAAATAATTGTCTTCGATTGTGAATGATGATTTTTATTCCCAAGAATTTCCACTTGCAAATGTGATTTTTGATTATAAATGATCAATTTTCTATTGCCAAGAATAAATTAAGAGTCTTTTTTAATTTTCAAGGATCAATTTGCAATTAGCAATTATTTTTTCTCATTCATCAATCAAAAATTCGAAGTCTTCGATTGTTACTAAGCAGCCTTCAATCCGAAATTATCAATTATTAATTCTCAATTTTCAATTATCAATTGGCAATTAGCAATTAGCTATTAGCTATTAGCAATGATCAATCATCAAACGTCAATCGTAAATTTTCACAGAGTTCTTAACCACTTTTTAATCCGTTCTATTTTGTCAATCAATTTTCAATTTGTGCAATTGGCAATTGAAGCAATTGGAAATTAGTAATTAAGCACCAAAAATTGAAACAATTTATGTTTTTGCAATTTGCAGTTGGTCTTCAGCAATTTTCAACTATCAATTAGTAATTTGCAGTTTGCAGTTAGAAATTAAAAATAAGCAATTAGCAATTATCAATTAGCAATTGCAATCAGCATTAGAAAATCAAATAGCAATTGTCAATAATCAATGAGCAATTGCAAATTCAAAATTTGCAATCCGCGGACTAAAATTGATTCAATCAATTAATAGTTGGCAATTATTAATCAACAATCTTCAATCAGCAGCGATCAATTAGCGATTCTAGAGCATAAATTCTCCGTAAGCAATGAGATCAATCAACAACTTTGGAGAATTAATCGACACATATGCAATCGACAATATATTCAATAATCCAAGTAATTTTATTACAATCCCAGACTGGAATTTTGATAAATAGAATTTGATTTTTCAAATCAAAATTGATTGGAAAGTAAAAGAAAATCTCTTGAGAAACTTCGATCTATAGATAATCAGCTTCCGCTTTAAATTTGATTGAGTGTTGATTCAAAAAAAAAAAAAATTTCTTTATGATCGATTTTTAATTCTTCTTTTTCTCTCTCTTAAATTCTGTTTTTGTTTTTACCACTTTATCATTCGATCTGGAAAGAAAAATTATAGTTTACCAACAACAAGAAAAAAATTGGCTCAAGAAAAAAGCACTAAATCTTTCTCCCCTTTTTTAAGCCAAGGATCATATCCGAATTCTTCGTTTTGGAAGGCCCTTCAACCTAAATCAAGGTCTTGTTTTCAAGGTCTTTTGGTATCTGTGTGTATATATGTTGAATCACTCCACACTTGACAATTCCTGTTTTGCCTCTCACTCTCTCTCTCTCTCTCTCTCTCTCTCTAATTAAAATCTCTTCGTAAATTTTCAATTTGATCTCCTTTGATTATAATCTTTTTCTTATGGATGTTGACATTTATTGAAAATTATAATTTTTTCAAAATAAGATAATAATCTAAATAATCTTTTTCTTTATTATTATTCGTTTTGTAATTTATATTCAATAAAATAGATTTTTCAACTTTATCTCTTTTAAAAACCCGGTTCAAAATGGTCCCAGTCACAAATTTAATTGACACGTTTCTCTTTTCTTAAAGGATGAAAACTTATATTTTTAATTAATTTATACCGGCACAGATCACTCGCGTCTAGAAATATATGTAATAAATAAAAAATAGAGGGTAAATTTTTCGTGTGTGTGTGTGTGTCTGTTCGGGGGGATGAGAAGTTTTTCAAGGTCAATTTTTGGCGGATGATCAGCAAAAAGAGGGTGGTAGTGGGGTGGATTAATGATGAAACACTAGAACGCGATTCACTTTTTTTTTTTTGCTTTGAAAACCGTGTCGAAGCGGGCGAGCAGGTGAGATCACCTGCTCACCTCATCGGCGAGGTGCAGGATTGGGTTTCGTGGCGGCAGGTCGTGGTTTCTAAGGTTCGACGCGGCAAAAAGTTTTATTCGACCCACGGCTGTTAGGATGCACCGCCCGCACGCGGGGGACTGGCCGGGTTACTACCAGCAGTTCTCGTTCTCTGCTTCCGCTGAAAGGCAAACGATTTCCAGTCTTGCGCCATGGATAGTTTCACCCTCCCCGGGTCGATATCAAGCACCGCCAACCCCAAGCATATCCACCCCCACCATCACCCTCTCGTGCCACTACTTTTTTTTTCTCTCTCTCTCTCTCTTTTCTTCTTTGCTTTCTCTATCACTCTCTCTCTCTCTCCCTCCCTCCTATTTATTTCTTTTCCTCTTTCGCTCTCTCTCTTTCTTTTATACTCTTTCCCTCTTCTCTATTTCTTTTCCTCATTCGCTCTCTCTCTTTTACTCTCTCCCCCTCTTTTTCTCTTTCTTTTCCTCTTTCGCTCTCTCTCTCTTTCTATTTTACTCTCTCCCACTCTTTTTCCCTTTCTTTCTCTCTCTCTCTCTCTCTTACTCTTAACATCCCTCTCTTCTTTCTCTATCATTCTCTCCCCCCTCTCTCTCTGATTCTGTCACTCTCTTCCCCCCTCCTCCCTCTCTATTTCTCTCTCCTCTCTCACCAGCACCCAAGGAGTTATCCTCATGTACTATTTTGTCGCTACACTCTCTCCTCGCGCCGCACGACCTTCTAGCGAAAGAGAGAGAGAGAGAGAGGGTGAGAGAAAAAATTTTTTTTTTGTCTATTTCCGGTTGATTCTTCCGCTTTATATATATGAACTCGTGTTATATCTACGTTCGCTGTGTGGCACGCACTCGCTAAACGCTATGTACAGGGAGTTTCCTGACTGATCGTTTTCCAATAGTCAATTATCGCAGGCGACAAATTGCGGGCGGGAAGTGAAGTCTTTGGAGAGAAAGAGGAGGGATTATTAGGTGTCTAGTTCTTGTTTTTTCCTCAGTGTGGGGTAGAAAAATGGAGATTATAAAGATAAGCTCTGAAAATAGATATTTTAATGATTTGTGTAAATATTCCCCTCACTGCTTGGTATATATATATATATATATATATATATATATATATATATATATATATATGTAAGTTGATTGATAAGTCTTGTGGTGGAATTAATGAGATTTATGTCAAATGTATAGGAGGTGATTTGGAAAGAAGAGGGTGAGAAATGGAGGAGGGATAAGAGAGGGGTTTGGTAATTCTATCAGGAAATCATTAGAGGAATTAATTATTGTGTTTTAGGTAGTTAGGAAAATATTTGGAATTTTAAGTAGAGAAGATTGATTTTGGTCAGACATTTTAGTAGGTACAGTTTTTGACAAACTAGTGTAAACAGTTATTTTTTTGTACTTTGGATTTTGTATTTTTAATTTTGTTTTTTCTATTTTTTTATATTGTATTTTGTACTTCAAATTTTGTATTTTCAATTTTGTTTTCTCTATTTTCTATATTGTACTTCGAATTTTCGATTTTGTTTTTTCTATTTTCTATATTGTACTTCAAATTTTGTATTTTCTATTATGAATTTTCTATTTAGAAATATTAGAAAACTTCTGTCAAACATCGGAAAAAATCACATTTCTTTTTATTTATTAGAATTGAAATATTATTGTCAATACATTTATAATTAAATTTCTTGAAAGAATTAAATTATTTTCAAAAATTTTAATGAAATTCTTTTTAAAAATTCACTTTTCTTTTTAAAGTAATTTGTAATAAAATTCTTTTGTAGAAATTTAATTAATTTCAATAATTTATCAAAATTCAATTATTTTCAATATCTACTTATTTTAATAAAATTTCACAAAAAAAGAATTCAATTATTTAAAAAGAAATATTATTAAAATTCGTCTCAAGAATTCAATTATTTTCAAACGTAATAATAAAATTCACTGCAGAAATTCAATTACGTTCTAAATTTTTTTTTTAAATTCTCGTGAAAATTTTAATTGTGTTTAGAAATAATTAAATTCTTCTCCGAAATTCAATTATTTTCAAAAATTTTACTAAAATTTTTGGCAAAATTTCAATTCAATTTCTTAAAAATTTTATTGAAATTCGTCAAAAGAATTTTAATTAGCTATTTAAAAATTTGTTGATAAAATTCTTTATGAGAGTTCAGTTTTAAAAAACATTCAATTCTTCAACAAATAATTTATTTTTGTATTTAAATAATTGAATTCTCGTAAAATTTTCTAACAAAAATTGATTTTAATATGAATTTCAAGTTAAAATTTTAGATAATAATTGAATATTAAACTCTCTAAATTTAAATTAGTAAAAATTTCTAATTTAAATTAGTGACTGACTTTTTGCTTCTGAAATATCAGATTTTACTAATAAATAGTCGTTTCTACTAATTTATTAGTAAAATTTACTAATTTAAAAGCAAAAAGTCAGTCACTAATTCCAATTAATAAACATTTATACTAATTCAAATTTATAGAGAAAGTATTATAGCGTAAATTTTTAGAAATAATTGAATTTTGAAAATGGTAGATTTAATATTTTTGAAAAATTTTAATAGAATTTTTCTGAAGTTATTTGAAATTTTTATTTTCTAATATATAAATATTTGATTGAAGAATTTTCGAATAATCGATGAAATTTCGTAAAATTAAATTGTAAACAAAAGAATTTGGAAATTTTCAAAAAAATTTTTCAAAAATTATTAAAATTATATTATTATAATTATTTCAAAGAAGAATTTTAGTTAATAATTCTGGAAAACAATAATTGAATTGAAGTGATGAAAGTAATTTTGAATAAGTTACAATAACAATATGATTCCCTATAATATAAAATAATGATTTTATCAGTCAATAATTTTTTACTTATTTATAAAACATGAAGAAATCGATTGCTCCGAGTCGAAGACTCGGAGTGATCGATTTCTTCATGTTTTATAACAATTTTTTATAAGTTGTTTAATATCAAAAGGGTTTGAATTTGAAATTTTTGAAAATCTTAATTCTTATGGAAAAATTTTAATGACTAATAATATATTATTATATATATTATTATTATTATTATTATTATATAATATATATTTATTTAGAAAAGATAAATATTACAATGCGGAATACTATTATATAAAAGTTGCATGTATTTGTAAAAATTTATTGAAATTATTAATTTTGTAAAATATAAATATACTTTTAGAAACCTGAAAAAATCCTTTTTTTAACCTGGAAAGCCTAGAAACAATAAGTAATAAATAATAAATTACAAATAATAAATTTTAAAAAATAAATATTAATTAATTGAAAATTAATTACAATGTACGAGAAATATTATATTACTTTGTTTGTATTCCGGAAAAAATTCTTATTCTTATTCATTGTGACATCTTTTTCTCTACTTAAAGAGAGCAGTTTTGTCTGACTAAGGTCGACTTTCTCTACTGGAAATACACAAAAATGCACTTTTTTTCTAAACAGTGAACAATACATGTAGAAAAAATGTACAAAAAGAGTTTTACTGTCCATAAGATGAATACTTATATAGAAAAAAAAAATTTTATTTCGTCTGACTAAAGTCAAATTTTTCTACTTAAATCTCAGAAGCGATAATATTCATACCTATTTGGTACGCAATACCTAATTGAATAATTTAAAAAATACTTTTTGCATGAACAATGGAAATTATTTTTTAGAAATTATAGCTTGTCTGACTTAAACAGAATTTTCCACTTACAATTCTATTCATAATGTACTAATGCATATAAAAATGAAATAATTGTTTATTTATTAATTAAAATAATTATATGTCAAAAAATGTAAATAAATAAAAGTATGTATGTATAAAATGATATGTATTTATAATTTTCTAATCAGAGAACAATGTGAAAAAACTTTTTTGTTCATATAAATAACTTTCTCATTTTAAAAATTGAAGTGTCTGACTAAAAAGTTTTATTCTACTTTCGAAACACCAAAAAGTTAATATACTTCTACGCAGAGTATCGTAGAATATTCTGCCCGGCGTGGTTAAATTATTATTTTTAATAAATAAGTAAAGTCTGGCTGAAGGAGACTTTACCTCTTGAAATTGAACCCGTTTGACCAAAATAGCCTTTTCTACTTTAATTGCAAAAATTACTATATTTTTGACAGAATTTGATTGTCGAATCAATTTTTTTTTTAAAGAAACATTACCCTCGGGGTACAAATTTAATTTATGTTTCGCGCGAACTATGTTCTTCGAAAACAAATCAAGTCTAACTGAAACAGACTTTTTCTACTTATTATTACAGGAAATTGACATTTCTAATCGCAGAGAACAATTTCAAGTATATTTCAAGAAAAAACTTTTGGTTGCCATAAATAACTTTGTGTATTAAATACAATTGTTTTCTATTCCAAAAATTAAGGGTAATTCAACTTCAAAAAATTTATTTTTAGTTAAAAGAAAAGAAATCTTGTGTTTATAATAATATTGTAATATTTTTTTATTATTATTAAAATATTGTATAACATAATAATTTTATAATAAAAATATTATTATTATTATTATTATTATTATTATTATTATTATAGTTATAATAAACTAGTAATTGACACCTTGCTCCTCTTAACAAAATTATTCGGTTCATTATAAAAAAAATAACAAATGAATCTTCAAAATCGATTAACTTTTTACAGAGTAGATAATTTATAACTTTTTGACTCTTCATATATTGAACGATTTCCTTTTTACTGCCGCCGAGAAGTTAGAGGCAAGAAATTGGAGGAAAACTTTTAGGACCTTAAAATTGATTCGTCTTGGTTGAAAAGTTATTGTATATATATACGAATCGAAATCGATTGATATGATTGATTGAAATTGTACATTATATACATCTGCGAGGGTCGGATTTTTCTCAGTTGTCCCTTAAATATACATAAAAGATTGAGGAATTGTTGGTTTAGAAAAAAATATATATAAATTACAAAATAATTTATCCGCCTCTAAGTAAATTTAACTTTTTATATTACTTTTGAAAGTGATATTGCTTTTGCGGAAGTTGTCTTCATTTTTTTTTTTCTTGTAACGATCAAGAAAAACTGATGGATTGTCGATTGAAGAAAACATTCTTTTAAGTACTCGCCACTCCTTTGTACAATAAATTTCATTTTCTTGAAAGACTCCCTCGGAGAATACTCTCTTCTCTCGAAAACAGCACCAAGTATTTTATATTTATATATACAAAAATATAGATATATAAATAATATATAAAATATTAAAAATATGAAATATACATAAAATATGAAATATAAATTTATAAAATGTAAAAAATAAATAAAATAATAATAAAATTTTATTAAAATACTAATAAAAAAATTAAAAAATAAAATATAAAACAAAAAAAAAAGTAAATGAATAAAATAATATTAATAATAAAATAATTTTGCTGTAGTAGAAAGATTAATTAGTTTTAAATATTTTTTATTGTAGTGAAGAAAAATATTTTCTGTTTTTCTATAAAAAACGATATAAAGAAATTATTTTCAACAAATAAAAATATCGTAAGAAATATGCAAAATGAAAAAACAATATTTCTTGGAATATTTTTTCACATAATAAAATTGCAAATAAAGTGCTTCAAGTTTAAATAAATAAGTGCAGGATGATCGTATTATTATTTTCCTCTCTTGGACTTTTCGCTATGGATCCACAAATTCTCACCCTCACTCTATTCTTTCCTCGTTTTCAGTTCTATTTGTCTTATCTCTTTACTTCACAAGAGAGGAATCCTGTCTTGTTGAACATTTCTTTTCTAATGAAAAATTTCTTTCTTTTTGCCTTATTTATCTCACTTTTTTGTTACATAAAGATACCATTTTTTTTTTTTGAAAAATAATTTCCTTTTCCCACCAAAAATATTTTCGAAATTTTTTTTTAAAAATAATTCCTTTTTCCCACCAAAAATATTTTCGAAATTTTTTTTCTTCAAGTTTTCATAATTAATAAAATTGACTAAAAATTATTTTAATTTTCTATTATAGCTTATAGCGAAATTGTATTTTAAATATTGTTACAATAAAAATAAAATAAATTTATTTAAAATTAAATAAAATAAACAAAAATATACAAAAACGTTTGTAAAAATCGTCAAATAAAATAAATAAATTCCGTTTACAGTAAATAAATTAAATGAATGGTTAAGAAAAATTATTATTTTTATTTATTCTAATTTTAAATTTCGTAGAACAAAAATTATATTAAAAAAAATAATAATAACAATAATAATAATAAGAAGAAAAATATTAATAATTGAAAAAAAATTTTTAATAACAAATAAGTAATTAAAATGAAACAGCAGAAAATAAGTGATCAAGTAATGCTCAATAATTCTTGTAATTCGTGTTATGTAATTTCCATATACGAAAATTGTGGTTTGTTATATTTTTTTACCCTATTTTTTGTAACACATTTTCCCTGCGATGTAATTCATCTCCTTCAAACATACACTCCTACATACTTAAACTCCAGTGAGCTCTCAGACAATTTAATTCACCCGAATCCATACTGCAAACCTCTCTGGCGCACCCTTGGAGTTATACAACTACATTCGTTTCTCTTCCTGAAGCTTCATTTCGCCCTCAGACTTTTCATTTTAAGCACCTTTTTTCAAATTCTCACCATTTTTTTATATTTATATAAATTTTAATTATTCTGAAACATTTTGTTTGACAAAAATTATTATTTGGCAAATATTTTCAGTTTTTAACAGTTTTTTCTCTTAGGAAATTATTTTTCATTACATTTTCTTATCTGCTTTAGTTAAATTAATTTGTAATTAATTGAATTAATAAATTTTCAGTTCAGATGTTTTCCATGAATACAGGACAAAAAATCCAATCCAAAAAAATCTAGACCGAAAAATTCAGGAAAAAAAGTCCAAAGTACAAAAAATCCAAAATAAAATTGTCCAAAGTCAAAAAGTCCAAAATAAATAATGAAACATGTGGAAAAGCCATATTTTTACTTGTTACGCTATAGAATCGGAATTTAAAATATTAATTTTACAATCGGAGGATTTTATTTATTTACATAAATAATAAAATTGAATTATTTTCATAAAAAAAATTTTTTATAAAAATTTTATTACTTTCATAAATAAAAAAATTTCTAGAAAAAATACCGTTTTCCATAGACATTTTTTCAAAACTAAAATCACTTTTAGTAAAATGATATCAAAAGTTTTTAATTAACTTATTATCACAATTGAAAATTAATAGAAAATTGTCAATAGAAATTGTGCATTTTAAAAAAAAGTTAAACTTCTGAATATTTTAAAATTGGAATTTATTTTTTAAGATTAAACAGGTATATAATAATTATTTATAATTTATAAAATGAAAATTCAAGAAGATAAAAATAGTGGTTTTTGTTATTTAAAATCGAATTGAAAATTAACAGAAAATTGTGAATAGACATTTTGCATTTAAAGAAAAGAAGAAACTTTTAAATTTTTTAAAACTGGAAATTCTTTTTTAAGATTGAAAAGTTATATTATAATAATAATAAGAAGAAAAAATTTAAACTAATAAAAGTAGTGGTTAATATTATTCAATCCTATTTAAAAGCACTTTCATAAAAATTGTATTAAAATTTAGGAATTAATTTTGCAACTAATGAAAAAGTTAATAAAAAATTGCAACAAAAATTTTATATTTTAAGAAATAAAGGAATATTATAGAAACGGAATTTATTTTTTAAGAAAAAGTTAAGTAAAAATTATTTAACAAAAACTTCAAAAAAACAAAAATGAGGATTAATATTGTTTAATATTATTTGAACCTATTTTTATTGAAATTATATAAAAATTTTGGAACTAATTTTCTAATCAATGGGAATTTGCATAAAAATGAAGATAAAAGTTTAAATAAGGGAATAAAAATAATAAAATAATACAATAATGGTTAATGATGTTTAATATTATTTAAATTACTTTTATTAAAATTATATAAAAACTTTCGAATTAATTTTCTAACCATTGAAAAATTAAAATAAAAAAATTGTATCAATTTTCTATCTTCTGAATTGTTTACATTTTCTTGTGGAGAATATACTTTAATGGCGGTGAATAATGATACGAAAATATTCCCTCTAGTTTGCAAAAAAAAAAATATATAATAATCTTTTTACTTATGTAACCAGAATCCATTTGGGACAAAAATTTTAGTAGCATTGAAAATCTTCCAGAAAATGAAGAATTTTAAAGCATTCTCATATTCTTCTCATGAGGACTAGCTTTTAAAAACTCTTGGTATTCGTCCAGAAAAGATTATATAATTTCATAGCTGAAAAACTAAACGATCCATATAAAAGCCGTAAATTTTCCACTTTCGATAAAACCACAAAAATTTCTGTTTTTCCAAAAAAAGAAATCCATCTATCATTTTTTTTTTACATTTTATTTCAAAATATCATTCTTACATTTTATTTTTTTTATTTCTTTTATATAAAAAACGTACATGAAAAACATTGCGATTCAAAAATGGAAATTAAAAATTATTTATTTTAATAAAAAAAGAAAAATTACAGAACGGAATTAAATATTATTATCTTTATTTTACAAGAACTGGAGAAATGGAAGTTTGAAAAAAAATGAATTTAATAAAATGGAAAGAATAACAATAGTTGATAATAATAGACGATTTTAATGACCTAATAAATGAGTAATCCGGGAAAAAAATAAGCTAGGATTTTCCTTTCTAAGTAATGAAGAGGGCAAAATTGTCATATATTATTTTTTATGATTCCTCCTAATGTAATTAAATTTCATAATTAATGACATTCATTATCCCTGTGTAAAACCCTGGTCCATGTGAATTTTTACATTACAAAAATAATAACAGAGATTTTTGTTTAAAAAAAAAAATTCATCCATCATTTTTTTATAAACAAAGAAAGAAAGAAAGATTTCTTTTTTTTCTGTTTATAAATCTTTTACTGTTTTGAGAATTTCTTCGGGAATTATATAACCAACTTGATGCATTTCCTTGACAACAATGGGCTTCTTGCTGAGTGAATCGATCCATTTGTAATAGGGAAGTTCCTCCTGTGTGCCACCGTATTTTTTTGGCAGATTTCCCGGTGCAACATGTTGATGAAGGCTACTCATGTCATGACCATGAAAATAAATTTTACCCTGCATTCTTGAATCGAGAAGTGGTTTGAAAACGGCGAAAATTGCATCGAACACCCATGATTGATTTAATATGTGAATTGCGTGTGTTTTCATTGGAAATGACGTTACCATTAGGGCAATAACCATACTGGCAATCTGAAAAAATAATTTTTGAAACAAATTATTCGATATTTATTTATTACTAATTATTAATTATTAATTATTTATCCCTATAATAGAAAATCATTTCGCCACTGCAGATTTCTACAGTTTTTCAAAGTTATTCAACCTAACGGCCCCCTCCAGGGGACCGTTACGTTACGTCAAAGTTTAGGTCAAATTTGACATGTTTTTTTAACTATAGGTCAATTTTTTAAGGTTATTAAATTTAACGGCCCCCCTAGGGGCTGTTACGTTGCGTCAAAGTTTCGATCAAGTTTGACCTATTTTTTGACCTGTGGGTCAAATTTTTCAAGACCATTTAAGCTAACGGCCCCCCCCCCCTGTTTTTATTAATTTTTATTAATACTGTATAAAAAATAAAGGATTCAAAATATAAAAATAGTTAATAATGATAATTTTTTAAATACAATATAAACAAATAATAATAAATTAATATTTATTATTATTTGTTTATGTTCTATTTAAAAAGTCATCATTATTAACTATTTTTATATTTTGCATACTGTATTTTTTATCACGTGATAAATGAATAATATAACAATAGAATAATTTTGTATGTCTGACTAGACAAAACCTACTCTACTTAAAAATACTGTACATTAATTAATTTACATAATTTATCAATTTTTAAAAATCGTTTTTCATTATAATTATTTTTCTCACAGTTAAAATTCTTTTACTCCAGATTTAACTTATGTCTGACTAAAAAATTTTCTTTCTACTTAAATAAATTAATATCTTATCAATTGACTGTAACTGCATTTTGGTATTTTTTTTAAAACCTTTCTTAATTATAATTTTCTGTTTTTAAAAGTCTAACTAAATTTCACGTCTGACTAGATAAAACCTTTTCTACTTAAAAATATTTGTCAAATAAATTTTTTTAATTATTTCATTAATTGTTTAAATGTTATTTTTCAATTGTATTTCCTTTACTGATTTAATTTTTCTTCTCAACATTCAAATTATGGAGCACCCAAATTATGTCTGACTAAAGCACAATACTTCTACTTAAAGAAATTAATATTTTACTTTTTACTAACTATAATTATATTTTAACATTTTTTATATTTTTTATTTAATTTAAAGTTTTTTCTGTTTCTAGAGGTGAATTATGTGTCTGTCTATACAAAGCTTTTTCTACTTAAAAATCCCGTAATTTAACTTTTATTCAATCTTTTAATATTTTAAAGTCGTTTTGTTTAATAATTATTTCCTCCACTGTTTACATTCCTTTACTCAACATTCAAATTATGGAGCATTTAAATTATGTCTGACTGAAACTGTAGATTTCTACTTAAAAATATTAATATTTTATTTTTTACTAAATATAATTATATTTTTACATTTTTTATTTTTATTAAATTCTAATTTTTTTTTGCTTCTAAAGGAGTATTATAGTCTGACTAGACGAGACCTTTTCTACTCACAAATACTGTAAATTAAATTCAATTCAATTCCTTAAATTTTTAGAATATTTTTTAATTCCTCTACTCAAAATTTAAATTATTAAGTACTGAAATTATGTCTGACTGAATCACTAGTTTTCTACTTAAATAAATTAATATTTTACTTTTTATTCCCTATAACTATTTTTATTCTTATTTATCACATATTTTTATTTTGTTTTTAATTTTCTTGATTCAAATTATGTTTGACTCAAATAGACGGTAACTAGTTAAATGAACCGTTATTTTATTTTTTATTAACTATAATTATATTTTACTAGATTTTAATTTTTTTTAATTTTAAATTTTCAGAATTCAAGGTAAACTATGTTTGGCTACACGATACGTTTTCTACTTCAAAGTTCTGTAAGTTTATTTCCATATATAATTACATAATTTTTGAAAATTATTTTCATTAACATTTCCGTGTGTGTTAAAAACAAACGTAATGTTTATTGTTAACGCTAAGTCAATATTAAAATTATGACTTACTGAAACACTATCTTTCTACTTAATTTTACTATCACCTAAAAACTTTTGAAAAAACTTTTATTTTACTTCAATTTTTCAAAAAAAAAAAAAAAAAAAAATTGTCTGACTGAAAACGTTTTTTTTTCACTTAAAAATATGAAAATCCCCTTCAGAGTATAGTAATCGTTTATGTAATTTGATAATTGTTTTTCTATGATTTTCCATTTTCGATTTATGCTCTAGAATATTGAAACTTGTTTGTCTGACTAAACCTGACCCTTTCTACTTATAAACACAAAATAAATATTCCCAACATAATAATTTTTTTATACACTCTTAATTAAATAGAAAATATTCTCCGAACAGTTATTGTAAATGTTTTTATTTAAAAGAAGAATAATTTCGTTTGACTAAAGCAATATTTTTCTACTTACTAATAGAGGCAGGTATTATATTTCAACGGGGAACATTTTTCCATTTTATCATTTTAAACAAGACTCTGTCAGAACAATTTTCTCAAAGAAAACATTTTGTCTGACTGAAATGGTCTTCTTCTACTTGGAAGTGCAAAAAGAACTAATAAATCATCTGAACAGGGAACAATTTTCCTTATTGTCATTTAAGCAAAAAAAATATTGTCTAAACAATTTAAACTTTTAATTTAAACTGTCGTTTGGTAGAAATTGATAATTTTGTCTGAGTAAAGCAATCTATTTCCACTTTTATTTTTCTGGAAAAATGTACTTTTGTGAGAAGAGTGAATATTTGATAATCCATTCCAAGAAAATACTTTTATCTCATCGAATAAATATTTTTTCTAATTGAGAAAAGAAATCTGTCTGACTAGAGTTGTTCTTTTTCCACTTAATTATTACTTACTACTTACTAATTGTTACTAAAAATATTTTAAATATTTCTGGAAAGAAATATTTGTAACTTACAAAAAATACTGAAATTTTATTATCTAATATTTACATTTTGTGTAAAATACTTTAAAAGTATTTTTAGTAAAAAATATGTATTCTCACTAAAAAATACTAAAAATACGTTTAGTAAGAAATAGTTAAATTTTTAGTAAAATATACTATGAAAAAATGTTTAGTCACAAATTTTTATCTTTACTAAAAAAAAATACTGAAAATATGTTTAGTAGGAAATATTGTAACTTACTAAAAATGCTAACAATATTTTTATTAAGAACAATTTATTTTTTACTTAAAAAACACTAAAAACAGTTTTTAGTAAGAAAAATATACATTTTACTTAAAATACTAAAAATAATTTTAACCACAAAATAGTATTTTTATAAAAACTATAATTATTAAGAAAAAGATGAAATTTGAGAAAAATTTTCCAAACCTGAGGAGTAATTGTCCAAGCGTGTGCCATTGTAATTCCTTCCAAATCGAAGATAACGACACCGCCGAGAACTTGGGCTCTCGGTTCGAGAATACCCAATTCAAGGACAATTACAGTTGCCTTGAACAATTCCTCCACTGAATATTTTCTAGGATCCCAATTGCCTATCCTAAATATCATCATTCTTCTTCCACATTGTGTTCTATACGCTGGTACAGTCATTACATCATCATCGCCAATATGCCTCATTTCCAATGGATTCACATTTTTGTGTATCGTATGATGCTCCTCTTTAAAATTATAGTAATTTACTACCTGAAATTTTGAATTTCAAAACTTATAGTAATTTTTTTTGTTTTTATTATAATTAAGGCTAGTTTATTAACTACGTAGACCTTTTTTGGAAATTTAACCCCCCCTCCCTCCCCCTTTTTCTATGGAGAATATAGAGAATTTTAGAGAAATTACAAATGAATGCAGAAATTCAATTATTTTCAAAAGAAATAAAGTTTTTCACAGAAATTTAATGTAATCATAAATTTAAGGGGAGGTTCTCATTGCGGGAATCAAAAAAATTTATTTCTTTTTTATTGTATTTTTTGAAAGCTATATATATGTAGAATATGTGTGTATAGCGATTTTTTGATCCGAAGAATATTTTCGTTCTTATGGAGTCTTGAACTCACCGGCGTCCCGAGCACTGAATAACAAATGTCAGGCAAATCGAATCGATTTTTAAAAATTTTGCAAATCTGACCTCAGAATCGTAAAGAGTGACCCTAAATACCTATAGATATTTATCAAATACGCAAATTGAACAAAGAATTGGAAAGAATTTAATTATTGCTCAAAAATGTTTCTCAAACTTTAAACGCGTTTTTCTCGAAACAAGATTTTTCAAACTGGTGGGCATCGTAGCGTCTAAACTATTTAGTCAATCAACTTCGGGTTTGCGGCTAATTAAAGGTAACTAAATTCTACTGGGGTTATACCTATAATATGGTAAAATTGTTAACAATAGAGATTTTTACAAGAGGTCAAATATAGAAAAATAATGCAAAAACGCAGTTTTTTTTAAAAATGTGTCCGCCATTTTGTCATTTTGTTAACTTTTTAACTATTTTATAGGTATAACCTATTCTTTAGGATGTCATCTTTATAAAAAATTTTGAGTTTTTGTTTTAGACTAAAAATTGCGCAGTGTAGAATGCCCACCGTTTTCCATATTTAAAAAAACATTATTTTCTAGATGCGCCATATTGGCCGCCATTTTGCATTTTTTTAAAAATGAAATATATGTTTTGAAAGTTCAAGAATGTATCTTTATTTAGAAAAAAGAACTACATCGCTAAGTCATAGCCGCTCTTTGCAAAAAATTGTCAAAGTTTGTGTTTATTTTGGCCTTTGCAATGAGAACCTCCCCTTAAGAAAATCCTCGTTAAAAATTAAAATATCAATTTTTTTTTATAAATAACAATATTCTTCTCAGAAATTCAATTATTTTCAAAAATTTAAATAAAATTCTTGGCACAATTTCAAATATTTTGAAGAATTTCCCTCAATTCAAGGATTTTCAATATCTACTATTTTAATAAAATTTTCTAAAAGAATTCAATTATTCAAAAAAAAAATTTAATAAAATTCTACTCAAACATTTAATTGTTTTCATAAAATAATAAAAATTTCACAGGAATTCAATTATTTACAAATTTTTTTATAAATTTCTTCGCTACAATTCAATTATTTTCATAAATAATAAAATATTCACAGGGATTCAATTATTTTCGAAAAAAATAAAAATCTTTTTAGAAATTCAATTATTTTCATAAATAATAGAACTTATTTCTGAATTTTAATTATTTTTAATACAATTTCAATCGAATTCCTAGAAAAAAGTAATTATTCTCAAAAATTTTATTAAAGTTCAAGAGAATTCAATTATTTAAAAATGTTTTTGATAAAATTTTTTATGATAATTGAATTTTAAGAAACATTCAATTATTGAATAAATCATTTCTTTTTGCATTAAAATAATTGAATTCTAATAGAATATTTTTATTAAAAATGAATTTCAAAATGAATTTAAACATTGTCAAATAACTTTTTCAAAAATTATTATTGAAAATAATGAATTTGTAGAAGAATTTCAGTTAAAAACATGAAAAAAAATTTAATTTTGGAAAAGTTACAAATTATTGCAAAAATTCAATTATTTTCAAGAGTAAATTATTACGCTTGATAATAATTTTTCGCAAAAATTAAATATTGTTCAAAAATAATAAAATTCTTTTTCGGTATTTAATTATTTTCACAAATAATAAAACTGATCGCAGAATTTCAATTATTTTTAAATACAATTTTAATCAAATTTCTCGAAAAATATAATTTTTTAAAAAAATTTTATTAAAATTTGTCGAAAAAATTCAATTATTTAAAAATTTGTTTATAAAATTTTTTATGAGAATTGAATTCTAAGAAGCATTGAATTATTCAATAAATTATTTATTTTTATAGTTAAATAATAATTTCTCGAAAATTATTAAAAATAACTGATTTAAAGAATAGTTATTTAAGTTAAAAATTCAAGAAAATAATAATTAAATTAAAAATGATTTTATCACTCGGTCATCTTTCATTGTTATAGTTATGAAAAATTTAATTTTTAGTTTTAAATAAAAAATAATATTACAAAAATATAAACAAATATTTATATTTCAAAAATGTAAATTTATAATTTTAAAATAAATAAATAAAACTTAATTAAAATACTAATAATACGTATTTTTTAATAATTGTAAATAAATATTAATAATATAATAATAATAATAATAATAATAATAATAATAATAATATAATAATAATAATTAATTATTAGTAATGTAATAGTAAATATCTAATTACTCCCGTTTATTGACTAGGAGGTAAAAAATAAATTTTCTATCTTGAAAAAGAAAACAGAAAAAGAAACGAACGAACGAGAGAAGGAGACAGTATGGTGAAATTGCCTTCATATATATATATATATATATATATATATATATGGAAAACAAAGGAAAATTAAGAGATATCTAGATTCAAAAGTACTTCAGCAATTGAATTCCGCGTATTCACAACGAAATAATCCGGTGAACACAGAAGTAGAATGGATTGCCTCCGGCAAGGCGTTTTGTTTACTGCATTGAATAGAACAATTAATAAGCGACAACTTCTATTATAATCACCCCTTAATTACCCATCTCTCCATTTAAATTAAAACTATATATAAATTTCACTTCACTTCTCCATTGTTGATACTCTATTTCTTATCCATAGAATCAAATTTTTTTTCTCTAAAAAAAAATAAACTGAAAAAAAAGAATAAAACAAAATGAAAGAAGGAGGAAAAGAACAAAAAAAATAATGAAAAAAATTAGAAAATACTACAAGGATGTCAAAAAATCAAGGGGTAAAAAATAGTTTACGGAATACAAAAAAAAATTTTTTCCCCTCGTCTATGTACTGTCTCAAAGAGAAAAATTTTCCAAATCGAGTTATAAATCAATATATAGAAAAATAAGATTAACAACTATATGTATAATGTACCGTACTGATTGCGCATTCGAAAGAGTGATTGGTTCACCTTGGCACGATTGTGTAAACTCAACGGAGACAAGAAATGATCTGACGATCAGTTATTTATCGTTTTGGTCCACCACGCGACAAATTCAATTTAATATTTCTTTTGGAAAATAGAAAAAACATCACATTTTTAATTGCCAAGAGAAAAAAATTCTTTTTGAAAATACATTCAATTTTTGTTTTGGAAAACAAAAGAAAATAACTTTCTTACTTACAAGAAAAAATTATATTTGAAAAAAATTCAACTAAATATCTGGTTTCGTAAATTAAAAATCTGACGTTTACCAAAAGTATTTACAATTTTACAATTATCTACAAAAATTTTTTTACACTAAAAAAAATTTATTTAATTCAAAAAACAATTAGTTGTCTATTGTCAAATAAATATTTATTTGCATCAAATAATTTTAATTTAGATAAAATAACTTGTATTTAAAACAAATAAATTGTATTTGAATCAAATATTTATTTGAAAATTACTTATTTGAATCAAATATTTATTTGAAAATTACTTATTTGAATCAAATAAATTTTTTTCAGTGTTTTTTTATTTGAAAAAAATTCAAATCAATATTTGTTTTTTTTAAATAAAAATCTGCAAGTTATAATTATCAAAAACAAAAAGAAAATTGACAAAAAAATTTCATTTTGAAAAACCAATTTAACATTAATTTTGGAAATTAAAAAAGCTGACACAAATAAAAATTATCTACTTGAAGAAAAATGAAATATTTGTTTTGGAAAATAAAAAATCTGACAATTTTAATCATTAAAAAAAGAAAATTGTCTTTTGGAAAAAATATTAATGAAATATTTATTTTGGAAAACAGAAACAACTGATGAACAAAATTTCTGTTTGAAAAAAAATTTAATGTAACATTTGTAATGGAAAATTAAAAAGCTGACACCAAAAAAAGAATTTTCTACCTGAAGAAAAATTCAATTAAATATTTGTCTTGGAAAATAAAAAAATCTGTGTTTTAATTGTAGAAAAAGAATTCAATTAAATATTTATTTAGGAAAATAAAATATCTGACAGTTTTAATTATAAAAAAAAAGAAATCAATTAAATATTTATTTTTGAATATAAAAAATCTGACAGTTCTGATTACCAAAAAAAAAATATCCAATTAAATATTTGCATTTGGAAAATTATACCTAATATTTAAAAAAATATTTAAACTGATATTTTTAATTATAAAAGAAAAATTCGATTAAACATTTGTTTTTTTAGAAAAAAAATCAACATTTTTGATAACTAAAATATAATTTTTTTTTGGAAGAAAATCAACATTTTTTATAACTAAAATATATTTTTTTTTTTTTTTTGAAAAAAAAATCAACAGTTTTATTAACTAAAAAATAATTTTTTGTTGAAAAGAAATTGTAGCTTTTTGAAACTTACCAAACGATGTGCTCGATGTATATTAAAATTACGTGCTCGTAAAAATCTGATGAGAAATGCATCATCCATTCGTTGTGGTGAACATTCTCCCCTTTCTAGGGTCAAATAAAAAAAAAATATAAAAAGTATAATCATTATTAATAGTCGTGTAAATAGAAGAATTTGCCTTCTAAATAGATTTACGCAATTTGCCTTATTAGCATGCTCCACATTGCGAAACTGATCCTTTTTTCCTCCCTCCCCGCCTTTCTCATTTAAGATAAGACACGCCATTTTCTTATGTGAGAAAATTTATCACAATTTTATTATAAAAAAATGTGCAACATTGTATATCAGAATAAATTTAAAAAGTAAAAGGAAACGGGGTGGTTACTATTAATATTTTTGTTCTCTTTTTTTTGATTCAATATTTTTTATTAGGCATTAATTAAATTTATAAATTATAGTGTTTTTAATAATTAGCAAGAAATAATTTTGAAATTTTTGCAGTTTACCCTCATTTTGTATTTTCAAGAATAATTGTTGCTAATCTATATTAATAATAAATAATAATTATTAATTAATATTTACAATTACAGTTGTTAAAATTAATAACAAAAAAAAATAATAAGTATTTATTAATTTATTAATTTTATTTATTTATTATTGATTTATTTATAATATTTATAATTTATTGTAAATTAAATAGAAATAAAAATTATACATAATAAATGGTAATTAAAAATTACTCAGAGTTTATTTTTGTATTTAAATTCTTCATAATGATTTAATAATCGCATTTTCTTTTAATTAATAAATATTTTAGTCGTGTTATTATAATTTAACTTAATTACTTAAAATAGTATTATTAAAATTAATTCTCCTTTCAATTTAATTTTAATAAAAAGAAACTTTTTCATGAAGTAATTATCTAGCTGCGCTGTGAAAATTGAATTTCCTGCGCGTCTAATTATTTATATAAATGAAAAACTGAAAACTGAATAACACCTAGCGTGCGACAATTAATTTTAATGACATCCCATATTTTATTGTATTCTCTATTTTATAATGACAGATGCAAAAATATACAAGTTTTTTTCTCTCCATAATAATCTATAGACTGAATATTGTTGACTCCTATTATTGGATTTTATAAAAAGAAAAGGTTGAATTGTAAATGATAGTATACGGTAGAAACAATTGAATTTAAATATCAAACTAAAGAGATAAAAGTCGATTTACATTTAATACTTCATTTTATATACACAGAGAGACAGATATATTAAAATACTATAAAGTATAGATTAAATAGAAACGTGTTTTTGTCTGATCGATAAAGAAAATAATATTTTTTTTTAATTTTCATTTTAGATATTTGCGGTTGTGATACCGGTTTTGAAATGACTTTATATGCCCTGGAATTTATCTGTGTGACTAAAGTTGACTATATTAGTTAATATGATATCTTTGGGAATATAATAAAATTTATTGTAATTAAATTATTTTTCTTGTTCATTGCCAATGAAGTGAGAATTAACTTGGAAATTATCTAGTTATGTAAATTGCATTTTGAAAAATAAATAAAAAACATTTTTAATGGATACTAATAAGAAACTAAAAGGTTCAACAAATTGAGTGTTTGTGTGGAAAAAAAATGTAAGAAGCAAATTATATTAGTGAATTATGATAAAATATTTAATGTGTTAAATGAACATGGTTTTAAATAACGATAAATGAAAATGCAAAAAATTGTTTTGCAATGCAGACAAATAATTAATAAACAATAGACAGATGAAAATGGAAAATAAATTAAAATAATAAAAATGTAAAATATAATCAAAAGTAATTAACGACAAAATTTAAATAAAAAAAATTTTTAAACGTAAATCAAATGAATAAAATGAGTCAAGTCAAGGGTTCGATTCTTCCTTAAAGTTTATTTTTCACAAAAAAATTTAAAAACTGCAAAGGAATATTTCTATCTTTATAATAAATATTATTTTCCCCGTCTATATTAAATAATAAAATAAATTAAAGAAATAAATTCTAATAAATAGAAAACAATACACTGAAAAAAAAATTTATTTGGTTCACTGAAAAAATTACATTCTAAATTTAATTAGAATTTTCTTAAATTTATATTGTAATTTTTTCAGTGTTTAAATGAAATAATTTGATTCAAATAAATATTTATTTCATAATAGAAAAGTAATCAGTTATTTGAATAAAAATAAAGTTTTCATCATTGTGCGTAAAATTTTTGTAAATAAATAAATAAAAATTATAAAATAAATAAATAAATTGAAAATATCAAACAGTAATAGAAATAATTACAATTTAAAAAGAATGAAAATAATCAAAAAATTTTAATGCAGGATAGAAATACTAAAAAATTCTAAAAATTTAAGTAGAAATAAAGAAAAATGTACGTCAACTATTAAAAATAATTTGAAGAATTTAAAATAAATTAAAAATTAAGAAATAATTCTCCTTCATATTTTTTTAAAATTCTAAAAATAGATGCTTATTATCTAATAGAGTTAGAAAGTCAAGTCAAGTCTTGTAGGGTTAGTAAAAAAAAAAAAATTCCAAAAAAAATTGCCACCTTAAGAATTTGCAGTTGTGAGAAAAAAATCTGCTACATTGTATTTAATGTCACTGGTATCTGGAATTAAATTCACTATAATTATCTGCTTAATTGGAACAAATTACATCAATTTACTTTGTTGCAAATTTACGACAGTTTTATAAATCTAAAATAGATGCTATTTATTTTTTTCACGATTTAAACCAGTCATGAATTTATTGCTATTGGGAAATAAAAAATTGTAGCGTTTATAGACAAATTATATCAATCGCATTGAATATATTTTTCAGAAATCGAAAAAAGGGGAAAAAGAAAGAAGAAAATGAAGAAGAGAGACAAAGATTATAAACAATTTAAAAAAAGGATAATAATTAAAAAAAATATACTTTAAAGGTTTTTGTTGTCAGTGTCGCGTTTTAGAAAATCATTTATAACCTTCGAAATATTAAATTTTTTATATTTTTAATTTTTATTTCTGGCAGTAATTTTTGGAAATTTATTAATTCATTTATTTATTATTTCATTTATTTATTTTATTTAATATAGTATGTTCAGTAAAATGTCTCATTTCTACGAAAGTAATTAAAAAATTTATGTAAATGAAAAAATATTCCTTTCACTTGAATGTTCAGAATTTATTTTGCACATAAAAAATAATTATTAAAATAGATAATAATAATAATTATCATTTGAATCATTGTAATTAAATAATAATTAAAATTAAAATCTAATTAAATACATAATTAAATAGTAACTAAGAAAATAATTAACTAATAAACTAATTAATTAATAACTAATTAAATTAAAATAATTGAAAAGAGAATTAGTAAAAAAATTTAAAGAAACAATATTTAAACAGAGTAATTATAAAAATAATTGAACGCACTTTAATAAAAAGTTATTTATTTAATTACTTATAAAAAAATATTTCCTTCAATTGAATGTTCAGAATTTATTTTGATCTTTTGATCATAAGAAAAGAATATTTAAAAAATGTGACGCACTCCGAAGAATAATAATAGTTGAAAAGAGAATTAAAAAAATACTCGAAAGAAAAATTAAAAAGAATTAAAAATGAAAAGAAAATTTTAAGAAATGCTTAAATAATTAAAAAAATATTTAAAATAATAATTAAAAAAAAATTTTTAAATAATAATTAAAAAAAGATTAAAAAAGGATAATTAAAAAAAATAATTAAAAAGAACAATTTTACATAAAATAATTAAAAGAAAAAACAAGCGCAGTAAAAATTTTTCTCACGAATAATAAATTTTTGTCAATTCATTTAAAAAACTTTTTTACACAACAGAAAAAATGTATTCTTGTGAAGCAATTAATTTCTCGTACGAGTAAAAAAAAGAAGAATGAGAAAAAAAGAATCCACCTCTTTTCACGCAGATTCTTAAGTGCGGTTTTTTAAAAAACTGCAGCAGGTTTTTTTTTTGTCTAAAAAAGTACGAGTGAAATTTCAAATTACCGTATATCATTTCGCGTAACTCTTGAAGTGTTTGACACTTGACCTCCTCGGTTTCACCCAGCTCCCGTCTGGCATACTCCATCACTTCTTGCGAGGGTTCCTCGAGATCTAAACTGAGCTCCTCCTCCTTCTCATTTTCATTCTCATTTTCATCCTCATCATCATCATTTTCATCCAATGATTCTCGACTCTTGAATTCTGAATTTTCTTCTAAACGCTTTTTTCCATCTTTGTTTTCAATGCATCTATCATTGCCATTACGAGTCTTTACATTTGATTCAAATTCATCCTTAATGCTCGTGTTAACTGAATTGGAAATAATTGGAACTGATCTATTTATTTTTTGACTATCGATTTGTCCTTCATTGATGGCGGCGGTCTTTCGAAGTTCCTCTTTTACATCTCCATTCCCATGGGCACTTCTGCCATTCAAAGTGCGAATGATGCTCTCCTAAAAGGAAAAAAAAAATAAATAGAGATATTTTTTTTTTTGGTGCTATTTTTCTGATGGAATTTTTTTTTCTGTACTAATTGACAGGTTGTTTGAATTATTTGCATTTTTTATTACTAGCAGTGAATTATTTGTTCGCAATTTTTGAATTAGAAAAAGTGTACTGATATTATTTTATGCTCTCTTGTATTCCTTTTTGCTCTGTATTTTGTATTTGTATTTTTACTTTGAATTTTGTTTTTTTATTTCGATTTTTTTTTGTATTTATTTGTATTGTTAGTTTGTATATTTATTTCGTATTTTATATTTTTATTTTCCCTTTGTATTATTATTTTGTATTTGTATTTGTATTTGTATTTGTATTTGTATTTGTATTTGTATTTGTATTTGTATTTGTATTTGTATTTGTATTTGTATTTGTATTTTTATTTTGTATTTTTACTTTGTATTTGTATTTGTATTATTATTTTGTATTATTTTTTTGTATTTTTATTTCATATTTTTTAGTATTTATTTGTATTTTTATTTTGTATATTTATTTCGTATTTTTACTTTATATTTGTATTATTATTATTTTGCGTTTTATATTTTTATTTTTAAAGGCTTTTTTAAGTAGCCGATTTCTGTCGTCGTATTCTTACTTGTTTATTTGAAAATTTTTTTAAAAATAAGAAATTTTTTTTTGTAAACATGATTGGTATAATAGTTTTGTAGAATCATCAGGAACAATCACACGTGGAAAAAATTTAAAAGAAATTTTAATTGCAATTTTTAAACAGTATTTATTAAAAATATTTTCTTAAGTAGACAATTACTGTCTGGTTTATCCTAATTCATTGTAATTTTATGTCTATTTATTTTTAGTCAATTATTTTATTTCTTTTTTCATTAATTTTTCATTAATTTCTTTTAATTATTTTTTTCAATTTTTCTCTATTCTCTCAAATTTTTATATTCACATTTTCTCCTACCATATTTTTCAATTTATATTTCTCTGCTTTTATATTTTTTTTCCACTATTACTAATATTTTCTGTTATACATTTTATTTATTAACACATGCGAGCGATTTATCATTTAATTTATTAATTTCTGTTTGTTACTTTTTTGATAGATGATTTTTATTATTTTTATCATCCTCGCTTTTAATATTTAAGCAAAAAAAAAAAAAAATAACCTTCGTTTCATATAGATGACAGAAACAGATGAATTTCTATTAATAATAAACCTATCAAGTAATAACAATTTTTAAAAAATTTTTCTTTTAAATTTTCTTGTTCATTTATATTGCAAATTATCTCCCATGAATTACATAATTATATCGTTAATAAAATATTTTATCTCTTGTTATTAATATCATTTTTATAATCGCACAATTTCCTGACGAGAGAAAATGTTTATCAACAACTTTAATGTTTGAATATTTCCACAAATATTTATTTCTCTTTTAAACAAATATTACTCGAATAAATTTACAGTAATTATTTTCACTAAATTAAAATTAATTATTAAAATTAAAATTCTGAATAAAAAATAGTTAAAAAAATAAAAAGAGAAAAATTAGAATAAAAAATAGTAACACCATAAAAATATATTATTTACTATATATTTGTACTATTCTTTATTATTAAAGTACAATAATATTAATAATAATAATAGTAATCAAAATAATAGTGTCAATTAAATATTAAATATTAAATTTTAATTCAAATTAGTAGAAATTACTATTTATTAATAAAATTTACAAATTCAAAAGCAAAAAGTCAGTCACTAATTCAAATTAATAAACATTTTTACAAATTCAAATTTTGAGAGAGTTATTATTATTTAGGGGATTATTACGTAAAAAAATCAAAAGTAGTATTTATAAATTTAAAATGCGAATAATTATAATAAAAATTAGAAGAGCAAAAAGAAAAAATAAAAATAGAAAAAAAAGGAATAAAAAATTAAAAATAGAAAAAAATAGAAGAAATTGAAATTAAATTGAATTAATACAACAGAAATAATATGATTCACATCTCTGTCGCAATATCGTAACTGAGATATAATGAGCTTACCTACAACTAAATTAGAATTTCCTAATAATCTAATAATTCAGAAAAACCACAAATTGGATTCGACTATTCCCCCCCCCCCCTCACCCCCTTATTTTCAAATAATATAAATCTTGCATTGTTTCACAACGATTGGATTTAAAACAGGAATGTCAAGACTTTCCAGAGCAAACAAAAAAGAAAAAGGAATATTGTTTCGAGGGCGTGTGAGCGTGGATTGAAGTGACATTTTATAGATAATATCTAGAAAATATTTTCAGAATATTTCAAGAAAAATATTTTACTCTTATTTGAAGCAAAAATTGATACACCAATAGTGATTATATATAGTAATTTTTTGACTGCTTGATTTCCGGATGCGAGAAAGAAAAAGAGGAAGAGGAGGAGGAGAAGAAAAAAAAATTTCCTTGACAGTATACAATTTATAAGGTGTATAGAGAAGCAGTGATGCGAAACAAGAAGAATGAAATTGATTCAATAATCATTTTTGTTTTCTCTCGAGAACATGAAAAAGAAGAGATAGACAATTTTTTTTTTTCATATAATATTTTAGAAAAATTGAGGTCAATAAAATTAATGACTCGCGAGAATAAGAGATAATAATTTTCTAATTGTCCTTTATTTTTCTCCGAGAGCGAGAATCACATGCCATCAATAATTTTCAGTGGAAAAATGTATTGAAAATTATTTATTTAGTTAATAATTATTTTAGTTAAAAAATAATAAAATTAAGAATGAAAACAAAAATATTTTTCATATATTTATTTACTCTATTTATTAATTTATTCATTATTTATTTATTTTTGTATTTGTTTTTTTCTTTACTTATTTATTTATTCATTTATTTAATTTATATAATTTATTTCTGTATTTGTTTATGAATATAATTTATTCACTAATTGGTTCGTTTTTTATTTTCTATAAAAATCAGTAAAATAAATGTTATTATTGATCGAAATTTCTCAATTAAACAGCGAATCGTCGCTGATTATAATTAAAATATTTAATTGGCACGTTTAGGATCTCATTACACGCTCCACGCTTATCAGATACGACAAACGAAAGATTCTTCTTCTCCTGCTTTTGTTTTGTTGTTCCTTTTTTTTTTAATTAAAATAGATATTTGGTTCCTCGTTAATTAATTATAATCGTATTTTAATCACTTGCTTATTTGTATTTGTTTCAATATAATTAGGAATACGTGAATTAATGAACTCCCGCCTAATATGTAATTCCACTGATTTGCAAATTTTTTTGTTCAGGGAAAAAAGAGATACATAATAATATTCTTTTACCATTTGAAGTCTTATGTTCGTTATACATTACAAACAATGTCTAATAAACTCACGACATAGTAAAGAAGTAAATGAAAATTTTTCAAAATTTATTCTCTTTCAAATGAAAAGATAAAATCGAGGAAAGAAAGAAAATAGTATAAAAATGATCATTTTTAATATATTTTGAATAAACAGAAAGATTATTTGAATTATAAATACAAAAATATTTATAGGAATTTTAATTAGTAAATTTAAAATTGTTATTTATGGGAATTTAATGAGAAAATTTGAAATAATTTATTATATTGAAATTTAATTAAATTAAATTGGAATTGAATTATAAAGGCAAAATTGTTATTTATTGTAATTTAATTAAATAAATGAATGTGAATCATTACTCTATTTTGATGGTTACGGTTGATAGTGAAATATATACAAAAATGGCATAAATGGTATAGTGGCAGATATTAATTAAAATGTGTATAACCGGAGATTTCCTAATATATTTTCGTCTAACTAATTGGTATTGGATAACTGATTTATTATATTCAGTGAAAATTGAGATATTCAGGGAAATTTTTTTTTCTTTTTTTTTAATGACGTGACTTCATCGCAATAAAGAAGCCATTGACCTCTACGACTAGACTGATAAATGTCATAATACGCTTGGTTGCACTATAATAATTCAATATTGTGAACTTGATATATGAAATATCAAAAGAAATGACAAGGATCTTTTTTTCGTAATTTTTATAAAATATAATGGTATTCAATTTCCTGGATAGAAATGCGAAAAAATTTTCTCGCTTCGTATGTTCTTTAATTTTCATTATATAACTTTTTAGTGTAAATTCAATTTTTATTTTTAATTAAATAGTTTATTTATTTAATTTGATTTTTTCAACTTTACCATTTGGATTTTTTTTAAATCAAATTAATCTAATTTTTTCATTAAAATTCAAATTACTTTAGTTTTTAATTTTAAATTTTAAAATTATTTAATTAAATATTAAATCTTTTAAATTGAAGTTTTTAATTCAATTTTTTTTATTTTTCAATTCAAATTAATTTAATGTTCAATTTCAAATTCAAAAATTAATTTAATTATGTAATCTTTTAATATAAATTTCTTAATTTTTCAATTCGAATTAATTTCATTTTTAATTTTAAATTCGAAAATTTATTTAATTATTCAAACAAAAAATATGTGAAAAATACCATTTTTCTAGGGTCTTTCAAAAGGAATTTTGCAATTGTATTTATTGCTTTGTAATTAAAATTTCAATTTTATATTCATTTATAAAAAGTATTCTTTTAAAAATTAGATTTTTAATTGAAAATTAAGAAGAAAACATCAAAAGTTTCCCTTTTTTTCTTATTTTTCACTTAATTTTAATTTGTTGCATAAATAATTTTTTTGTTTTTCTAAAAAAGTTATTGTAAAACATTTACATTTCATTTCCATTATTTTTGTCTATTGTTTTCTTTTACATTTTATTTATTTAATAAATCTAAAAATTTAGTTGTAAATGTCAAAATATATAAAAATAAAAAAGTACAAACAAAATATAAATAAATTATAAACAAAATTCAAATAAGATATAAATAATACACAATTAAATAAATAAACAAAATAAAATATAAACAAAATACAAACAAGATATAAA